CCAGGCCGAGCCTGCGCTGCCCGTGACGGCCCCTTTAGGGAGACACTTGGAAAACAAGTGGAATACTGAAATGGCTCAGCCCAGTCCCTTACTTTTCAAATACTGCAATATCGGTAAAAAGATTTGCAAATCTCTTTAAGACTCCTATCCTTCTTTTTCACTTGGAACAGTCTATGGTTAAAACAACTAAAAGACCTGAAGGGACATCATTAAAACATAAGCATAAAAAAAGAGGAAAATGTGTTAGTATTAAATATTTCCTTGCTGATACTATTTTTACAGCAAACCCCAAACTTCTACAGCGGGATTTATGTCATTTCCATAGCAGATATTTGAATCTCAAAAAGGGCTAGAGTTGCCACAAGTTTTGGGGTTTATGTGCTTAATTCCATGTTATACAAAACATACTTTGTGGGTCTTTAAGGTATTTGTAGCTCACACACCAGTGTTACACATCTTGCTGATATCTTTTAAAAGTAAAAGCTTTTTTATTAAAGGATAGATCCAACAGAGTTTAAATTCCACATTAATCCCTGGAGATTTTTTCCACCAAGAAGTGATTTCTAAGACCTCTTCAAAGGCCGAAACATAAGAACTGAAAGAAGATGGCAATAATTAATGAAATCACTTTTAATTAAAAAGCCTTAAAACATTCCCTTTTGCTGCACAACCACACAAATTACTCTAAAGTTAAATTTACAGACATCTTGCTGTTATAATTTAGATATTTCCTATTCTTTTTAGATATCACATAAGGACTTCTCAAGGGCTGGTACTTTTTACACTATCTTCCGCCCAAAGATTTTTTTTTTCCTTGCACTTGTTAAATTTACTTTAAGCCAACAGAAATTAGAGGACCACTGAGTGAGTGCCAGTGAGAGAGCAGGCTGTCTCTCTAAATGTATATGGCTTCCCTGGGATGTTCTTTGTTTTGATGGTTTTGTTATTCTAAGAATGCATTTCAGGTAGGGAATATTCATTTGTCCTTCCCTTAACAGACACGTATTTCCAGACCCGAAAACTCTTCGGTGTTCCTTGAATAATGGTGCTCAGAGGAATACTACCATGGGTCAGTTGCCTAAATATTCAAAGTGTTAATTTTAAATTGGTAAAATGTATTTTGGCTTAAGGCGAAAAGTACTCTCCCAGAATACTTATTACAGATCAACAGCACAGTATGAAGGTAAAGCCTAGGGCTATAAACCTGATGTTAAAATTTCCATTTATAAATCAATAATCACTGCAAACAAAACAGCCTACTCAGTTCTGTGAATGCCATAACTCTTCCTCAGGCACAAGCTGTATATAAATTTTGGTAAAAATCCGAAAAGAGTGTTACAAAGCTGAAGTCCCCTCCCCAAACTGTCAAACCTGTGGGGTGCTGCAGTCAGGTGCAGGAAGGAAGGTGCTGAAGGAAGCACAGCCTTTAACCTGTAAGGTGCTACAGAAACACCCCAAGATAAAGTGAGCTGAGCTGCTTGGACAAATATCTGAGGAAGACTCTGTGCAGGTATAACCTATGTCTGTCCGTGCCCTGAACCGACCCAGAGCCGTGTCTGGACTGGCATGTCCAGCACAGATGATAGCTTCAGATACACCCAACGGGCTCTGGTGCAGAAGGCAGAACCAGGGAGGAGCTACCTAATCTCACGTTAGAGATACCTCCACAGGCCGAGTTCAGAAAGTGTCTAAAAATTTCTGTCCCGAGAGCATCTGCCGCATTTATTTCCAAAAGTGGAGTAACTGGGTGCCCAACCAGTAATTCAGCTGAGATGACTAAAGCTTGCATGCATCTTTCAGGATCTCGGCGCCTAGACCTGTCTGCCCACGGCTCACCAGCTAGCGCATCGCCTCACAGCCCTGTTTCCAATTCCGGTTTGTTTTCGCAGTGTGCATACCAGCCCTGATGTGCTGCAGAATGCAGTCCCATACGGATATTTACTACCTATTGTTTTAGAGGGGCCAAGCTACTTTTCTTTTGCAAACTGTCGAAATCACTCTTATTCTCCTCCACGCACACAACTCCCTTTTGTTTGTCTCTTAACTTGCTGTGCTTGGCCTCTGCCCAGAACGAGCTTTTTCTGCCTCGAAGGAGGGTGACAGCATGCCTTTGAAGAAATGCCAAGGCTGCTGTTAGGCTGACCAGCAGGGAGCAATCCTGCCCAACACTCCCTGGCCTCTCCCAGATTGCTCTCCTCCTTTCCCAGAAACATGCAGTCGTGGAGAAAGCAGAGGCTGAGCTGATCACAATTCCCAGAAGAGATTTTTAAGCAACAGATGAAGTTTAAGCACACACAGAGAACACTGGAGCTGGAAGAGACATCAGAAGATCATCTAGACCATCCTCTTGCCCCAAGACAAATCCAGCTGTACCTACAGGACACTGTTGACAGATAGTTGTCTGACGGGTTCTTTCCAGCTTCCAGTCACAGGCAGTAACATTTCTGCAGGCGATGCAGTCTGGCACATCGCTTACGATCAGAAAGCTTTGGTAAACCTGCCCTCTTTTACTTCAGTTTAATCCTATCAGTTCTTTTCTGAATATGAACATGGAGACTCATTCATTATATTGTTCAGTTTCTAACATTATTTTAAAGTACAGACAAGCAAGTTGTAACTAGTTACCCTGGTCACGGTGACTGTACTTTTTGTGTCTACAAAAACACCAGTCTTCTCTGTTGACATAGTGCCTTTATCGTCATGTTCAGCACTGACTCAAAGAGATGACCACGGGTTCACTGGCTTTATTTCCCACAGTGTCTTACATCTTTTCTTGGAAGATCTCCCTCCGGCCACTGAACATCCCTAACCCCGCTGACCTTACAGATTTAATTTGCTCACATGCTAAAACCGTTACACACTTACAACAAGGGGTGAAATGCAAAAGTTTGCACAAAACTAAAACCCTTCTATGCACACGACAAAGGCTTTACAGAGAGTCTAATATTATATTTCCTGCATTACTTTATTTCCTACACATTCATCTTAGTCTTGGCCTTGGGACGCTGCTCATTTCCTATTATGACCGATACGCAGTTGGCAAGATGAGAGAAGGTGAAATTCTGATTCAAGACTTGCAAAGCAGTTTGGTGTTGGTTTTTTTTAAATTAACCAGTTGCTTATGGCATTTTTGTCTCTCACACTGGTAATGGGGAAATAGGAAGGTACAATGGTATATGTTGTGCTCTGATAATAAGTTTAATTGTTTTAGCTTGAGGGGGATAACACAGAAAATTTGACAGGTGTTGAAAAGATTTTCTTTTTTCCCCTTAAATGTTCCTGAGACACAAAACAAAATTAAAAATTTTCCACTGTAACTTGCCAGTGCTGACCCTCTCACTTACCCAGTAGAGGGGTTCATGATGCAACCCCCTTTATCAGTAGACGCTTTGCAGTTACATCCTCTCTCCAAGGTATCGTGATTCATTCCAAAATTGTGGCCCAGTTCATGAGCCAGGGTGACGGCTGCACCTAGAGGATTTTCTGAGTGATCCTTAAAAAAACCAAAAGAACTAGTGAAGTCAACATATAAAAACAATTCAGAATTACACACTCCCCCTCCAAGGTCCTGTTGCCTGTCCTTTGAAATGTTTGATAAACTTACCAGCTGCAGTTACACTGTTGTTAAATGGACACAATTTAAAATTCTCCCACATATACCAAGTACAGACCGGGAATTTCAGGACACGCTATCTGTCCTGGCCACCCAGTTTCCCCAGCACATTAGACATTTGAGACCATTGGGCAGCTTTGAACATCTGGGGCGTCTCTTTCTTTAGGGTTTAAAATTCCCTTGCTCAATAAATCCCCCAAACTCCCAAGACATGGCAGTGGTGGAAAACAGTCACCCAGATGTGGAGTGTTGGAAAGGGTAATCATTCATGGGTGAGGATGAGTGTGATGAAGGAAAAGTGAGAAGATCAGGAGGTAAATTACAAATGCAGCAAGAGACTTCACTCAGTCTATATTAATATTTTAATATTCTTCAGCCTGTTTCTTTAATATCAGGAAGTCCAAGATCTCACAAGCCTTGTAAGAAAAAACAAGTACCTTTGAAAACCTCCTTTTTAAAATGAAAGGACAATGCAAGTGGAAACCTTTGACGGCCTCTTGTTAACACCTATCAATATTCTAAATGTTGCAAGTGTCAAAATTGAAATATTAACATTAATCCTTGCTGAAATGCTGATTTTTGGGACAATTATTTCTGAGAAATTCACTGCATGATTTGATTACAGGCTGCTGATCAGAGTGATATTTTGGCTTAACCACAAGTAAGAGACCTTTCTACATCGATCATTTTCCTTGAGGGGAAAAAAAATTCCACTGTACTCATATGAAAGCTTTCCCTAAAGGCATAAACATGTAATATAAATGCATGATCCACTATTTATCAGTCAGTAAATGGAATTACTATGTACAGCTGCCTGCTCTAAAAGCATATATAAATATATTCAGTTTAAATAACTCTTTTAGTATCATCTAAGCCAACCTTCAGACTAAAAAGAAGTGAAAGGTAAGACTGTCTAAAACATTAGCTATATCTTAATGAGGCCCTTAATACATGAATAGAGTTTGATTTAAGAGTTTCTTCTTTTATCTGTCTGTGCTAATATTTTTAGTAAATCATTTCTCAAACAGAAAACAAAATAAAGAAGAGAATACACTAATTCTGAAAACAAGAAGCTACTCCTGCATTTGGAATAAACTCAGAAGAATTCTATCTTTTAACAAAGGATCTCTTCTTAGTTTTTCTGAATTTTAAATTTTTAATATAAAAATCTTGTGACTAACATAACAGCCAGTTTGTGTGCAGTTATATTCTAAGATGCCTGTTTGCTGAAAGAAGCTGTACAACCTGTCCTAGTAAAAGAAACAACAGAGTAAACCTATGCAACAAATGAATCTGTAATAATCAAGAAAATATATGTTCCTGCACAATGCCTTCATATGGAGATGTCTTATCTAGACACTAGTCCCATACAGATTGATTTATCTTTGTACTCATAGTAATTTATGAAATATATAGAGAATTCAATGTCATCGAACCTGATGACATAAAAAGTGCAAACCCTCTCACTCAACTGGAAAACAATCCAGGACAGAAGATTAAGAAAACAATTATATAATTCCATGTAATCTACCAGCAGCACACAGGTGTGATGCCTTGAAAATAGGGTTATGGGGTCAAGACAGAAACTCCTGTAAGCTTTGAGCTACACAGAGAGACAACAAACTGAGCTAAGTTTTTCTTTATTTTGCCAGTCTCTCTTACTAAGCAGAGATTGTATTTATTTGAACACCTCTAAAGCTGGCAATTGAAAATAAAAAAACCCAAGAATTCACACAGTCCACTCCAAAACTAGAGTAATAAATGATCTGAAATGTAATTTATGTCTTGAATGGGCAAACAATTATTACAGCCCATGCGGTTCTCATTACTTGCTCAGATCCACTTGGAATGCAATTTTATCAGTTTCTAGAGAGGGGTTTTAAAACAAGGAATGTGATGTCTCAGCAAAAGAGGTTATTTGAAGACAGCATAAATGAAGATTATCAAAACAAACAGTGACATGTCCCATTTGATACTGAGACCATTTAAGTATCACAAGGACTAAAGAAATGAATAGCAATGTGACTTTGATTTATTCCACCAGGGTCTTTTAAAGTTGATTTAAGCAGTAAAAGCCGTTACCAAACAGTTTCACAAGCACTGACTAAGCAACTATCTACTGTTAAGACATTATAAGCTATTGCACAAAACATGCAGCTGCTTTCAGCTGAACTCTGCTTCATTCCACTGAGATTCAGACCAAATCGTAATAACAAAATACTGTCACCTACAGCTAGAACAGGCAAATGCCCCAGTTCTGGTACTTTCCAAGCAGGTTCACTCAGTTGTAGGAGTAAGTTTTCTAAACCACACTTTTATTTCGTTTAAGAAATTCACTGAAGTCTAAGTGCCTCGGTTCCACACTTGTCATTTAGCCTAACTTTCCACTAAAGTCAATAGAAATGCGACATGAGTGAGAATACGACATTACATTACAGCAACTCAGCAATATTTTACTTTTAAATCATGAATTTAGTGGGCAATCTTTTGAAGCAGAAGAATGAAGACTGAATCATGTGTCAAAGACTTGCTTTAATGTCAACTTCTGTTTGGTCTTTCTACAACACAACAGAACCATCACAGTAAAATAAAATTATAACGCTCCTGATACACCAAAAGGTTCTCCTACTCAGGTGACTGCTCTCCCTACTTTGAGTTTCTCTTAAAATTAGTGGGAGACAGGGTGTCACCCACCACTGACAGAATTCAGCCTTATAGAAAAGAAGAGAGCGGCAGGCTCTGCAGGAGGCTTGACAGAGGAATCTAGATCAGATAGTGGAGCTGACTAACTGCAAAAACAGTCAGGGAAATCAGATCATACAAGGATGACTCCAGTTTTTATATTGAAATGTTATTTCTCATGTTATTTCTCATGTAATCTCTCTTGTCTCTTCTTTCAGAACAGTTTGGAGAGTGTGGAAGCTTTTTGGTATTGAGTGTTTGGGGTGGGATGGGTAAGATGGGGTGGGATGGCTGAATTATAAGGATGACCAAGCGTTCAGCTGCCCAGTGATGACATGGTTGAGCACTATAGCCTCCCAGGTTAACAGTTATTCGTTCTTTCATTTGCCTATCTTCCCAATTTAGAGCTTTCTTCTGTAGTTACTGGTATGTATAAAAACTTTTTTTGTATACACCTGAATTAGACTTTGTTAACTGCGGGGGAAGGTTGGGCAGCAGCCCATTTGGGTTTTCAGGGTGAGCGTTTACTTCTTTGGGATTTGGATCCTTTTTGAGGATTTGCTTAAAGAACTGGAAAAGATTTCTAGTTATGCTGTGCAAGCCTCGAGTTAATTTGCACCTCAAAAATTTCAATTCACTGAGGTGGGAGTCTCTGGGAAACACCATGCGCCCCTGCATGGCTGAAGTTGTAGCCTGGCCAACGATTCATACACAGACCCTGGGTTTCTTCTGGACATATAAATCAAGGCTCTGACAGAGGAGAGACTGAGAGTACTTTAAACAAAGGCTGATTCTTGTTTTCTTGTTACTAGAATGAACTATCTTTTGTTGTTTCTGTTTAAAATGACAGTTTCCAGAGTGAAGAGGACCGACTTTGCAGTAAAACACACTGTAGCATATTTTAAAGCTTATGCTAAAAATTAGAAGGACAAAAAAGTCGTCATTAAGGGCATCTCTGCAGATAAAGCCAAAGTAGTGACGGATGGCCTGAGGGTGAAATGGATACAACGGGGCTGTCTGACTCATATATGCTTTCGCCAAGGTTTGGAAGTGCGCTTGGAGACTCCTATAGTTTTTTCTTCCTCTTTTCCTCCTTTTCCTTTTGTACGTATCCCCCAGGTACCCAGTGAAAGGCTGTTACAAACACCAATTAGAGACTCAGCTTCTAAAGCTACCAAGAGACTGAAGCCTTTGTCTTTTCTACAATTTTCTACAAGTTGACATGACTTTCTCCAAATTATGTGATTTGATTGTTCTTTCCCACTCTTTCCTATACCTCAGCTTCCCTGCTCACCTCGTAAATCCTCCCGGTCTGAGCCATCTATACATCATCTTCCATGAATGCATGCATCACCCCAGCTTGGCTTCTTGCCTATTTGCCCAAGAGACCACAAAGGACCCCTGCACTGTGAACCAACCTCAACTTGCACACTGGTTAAGAAGGAATGAAATGCAGGGGCTTCAAGGGGCTGTATCTCTGGGATTATCCTGCTACATGGATTATTTTAAAGCAAAAGCCTTAGTGCCTAGGGCTCCAGCTTAGCCCCATGAAGCTTTGAAGAACCGGGAGCTCTGAGACCATGCAAAGCCTGACCGTTGTGCGTTCCTGAGCTCCCACCCCATTTATGTAGGGATCTGCAGCTGAGGTGTCCAGCAGAGCTGGAGAGAGCCACCACCTCACCTAAGGTGCTGGAAGTCTCGACAAAGCTGTAAAAACCGCAAAGGTTTTTGGCACGTGCAGGCTGAACTCAAGAGACTATCTAAGAGGTTTTTAAGGCTCCCTGGCTTTCTGCTCTGGAGTTGATTTCTGAGGTCACCAGCTGAGCCTGTTAGTGGCCTGCAAGCTCTGGGACTCCACATCTAATTTTATTTAAAGTACTTCTATTGCAAGGCTTACTTAATGCAAAACTTGTTTCCCTCCTCTTAGCACAAAACACTTGTTCAAAACTAAACAAACAAACAAACAAACAAACAAAAAAAGTGAAAGAAAATGTGCCAGAACTACTTCCAGAAATTGGCTACGATGTTTACTTGTATGTTCACTGTGTCTACCATCTAACAACAGCATTACCAGTAATACTCTTCGAGAGAGACTCAGGTGGAATAAATGCTGCCATTGTTTGTTCTCGTCTGGCAATGCAATAAAACCACTGCGCTGCAAAGATGGAAAATAAGGCCTTACGCAGGAAACTCTGTAAATACAGGATAAAATCAATATAATAAACGATTCAGGATAGACTGTAGACTGTTGTTGCCTGTAACACTAGTATACCCAAGTGGATAACAAATACAGCTTCTGGTTCTCATCGTTCACAGCACCTCAACACCTGATTTAATGATAATTAGGAGTAGAGGATTCTTGCTAAGAGGTCATACTACATTTTAATGTAATATTTTGATTTTTTTTCACTATGGAAACTATCATTTACAAGCAACGTGCATGTAGTTATAGATAATATTGAGATTGAAAACGGGACAAAAGAGGCTGATGTTCTGGTACAGAATACAGTGCTACAAAATTTGAGATTGTGTCACACCAGTTGGGCCAGTTTCAAGTCCTGTGCTTTTACCACTTACCATGACGACCCCTCCAGACTGCTCTGCAGTGCACATGCTCATTATGGGCGCCATGCCGATGGTAGTCCCCTGGAAGTACACCCCGCTGTAGGAGGGAGGGAAAGGAGAAGAATCACAGAATCACCGTTCAGTGCCAAGATACCACCCTATTATTTTCAGTCTTGCATTTCTGCCAGCCTCAAACAAAGATCTCATTTCATAAGTGTCAGCTCCAGACATTTGCAGGTTTAAAACAATGAAAGGCGCAGATTAGTCATGCCGACTTGCCAAACTGACAATGACAGCATCCCTGCTACGAGAAAGATCCGTTTTATCACCATCCTTTGGGTTTACTGCTGTAACAGGACCCTTCTTTCCTTTCTTTTTTCCCTGCCTGAAGTTGGGAATAGAAATGCAAACATAAAAATAATGTCTCTAGCTCAAAGGAGGGTTATTTTAATGCAGTGGGAAGTTTATATGCCACTTGTTATAATACACGGTCTAGAATTGTTATAATTCCAAACAAAGTATTATTATACATAGAGGGTAATCAAATATCTCATGAGGGACAGTTTAGAAGGGCTTACTCTATTCTTACACAGCTAATGGAAGAATATCTACGTAATGAGTAAAGAGCACCTTTTAATTACTAAGACATCAGGTATGTTTATCTGTACCATATAAAGAATGGTTCATTGATCAAAATGGTTCAAGAGAGAGGTATTTCCCTTTTTTGTTTTCCCAGAGTGCTTTTACTTTGAGCATGTTTACTCCATTACTTTAATCCAGGAAAGAGCAGCAGGGTAAAAGATGTGTAAGATTTAATTTTTAAGTCAACAATGCAAACAAATTGTCCAATTTAGACTGCATTTTAGAGTTTACTGAGGTCTTTCTACTAACAGGCTTCACATAGTGCCCCCTGAGCTCTACTTTTGGGGTGAGGGAAGGACTGCTTTTTCAGTAATAATTTAGACTGAGACCAGCTTAAACCACTTGTAAGTTCATACTTTAAGTATATACCGGCTTATTTAACATCTACACTTCTACATGAGTAGTATTCAGGAAAAGCCTACAAGTAACAGGGCTATTGCAGAGCTGTGGAAGGAAATTCATCTGAAGCATCTGCTGAAGGGCTCTGCAAAGCGCTTTTATGTTTCATGTTTGCAGAGGGGAAAGACAAACCCGCAGGAGCACAGATGTTACTACCAACAGCTTAGCAACTGGGGAAGAACTCAGTGCAGCTGTTCTCAAATCACTAAAATCCCAGCCGATATTTAATATAGAGTCAAGTCTACCTTATTAGCTGTGCATTGTCATGGGGTTTACGAGGTAGTAGTTTTAGCTTTCTCCAGTCCAGAAACTCGTGGAGACTGGTGAAAGGGTCTTGAGAAATAGAGCACTTATCCATGTCATTCCATACTTCCACTCCGACCAGGGCTACTCGAATATTAAGTGGCCTATAGAACTAATGAGAAAAGAAAATTAGAAACATGTCTCTAAACCCCATTTTAGACCACATTGGATTAGAATATTTCAACAGAAGCATAACGCGCATATAAACGTTTCTTGCAGAGCTTAAATGGTCTCTTCTCCAGGGCAAATGCGAACACCTGACAGTACTGCCTCAGATAAAATATTTCCATGACTTACAGAAAACAGTTGTGACCTGACTAAACACTCATAAGGCGTTCAAAGACATCCAGAGATATGTTACTTCTCGATGTCCCACCCAAGTTTGGTATCTTCCTTCAAGATGAAATGGTGCAACTACTTTCACATGTCCTTCACTTCTGAAGAACCTCGTTGCTATGGCAGATGACTCTCTCCACGGCTGCCCTCTGTCACCAGCACCAACGCAATTCAAGAGGCAGAGGCAGCTGTGCTGTACTAAGGCTGAAAATTTATCCAGAGTCATTGAGTCTTGCTCACAGCAGATAAACACAAGTGTTTTTAGCACGGTGGGCTACATACACTATTATCACACTAGTAAATGCCAGTTTGCTGGCACAGTTGCTACAAGAGGCGAGCTGGAGCAGCATTAGCAACGGAGCAGAGATAACAATTCTAATGTAAGAGTAATGTGAAGAAGGATTCAAGAATCGATCAAGGCCAGATTTGGCTGACAGTCTGAGAAAAGCATATACTAGATCTTTGTCTTGTTTATATGCATTACAGTCATTTGGATACCATCAGCTTTTGCTGAGCATAAATTAAGCATGAAATATAAATATATTATAACATGCAAAATTAATTTTGAGCAGGTAACATATAAACACCTGTCCTCCAGTAATAAGTCAGCAAGACAATTACGGAAGAGGTGGAGGTGTCTTCAGCAGCTTGTTTTTAATCAAGAATGCTTCTCCTTGAGTTATTGCCCTTGAAGTATCACTTGATAAGTTCTCAGCTAAATTAGGGCTCCCTCCATTATAATTTCACTACTGGACTCCTAATTTTTTTCTGGCCACACAACACAACAAAAATAAAATCTAATTTGTTTAAAAAACACTGTAGAGGACTCTCAGCATTTATCGTTTATTATAAAGAAATTACTTCAAATACAAAAAAATCCAGTGTATGTCTCTGTCTTATTGCTCTCACTCAGCCATCAACTCCTGCTTCCTTAAGCATGCATATTTTTAATTCTGCCATCTTCCTTTGGCTATATATCTTATTGACCATGTCTTCACAGGCCCCTTCTTGGCCCTGAAACTGGAACAACCCTTGCTGCTGCAAAGGACCTTTTGCAGAAATTCCTTCTCAAAATAAGCCTTTTCCTATGGGCTGTTCTGTATGTGATTATGGAATCATAGCACAGTTTGTGTTGGAAGGGACCTTCTAAGGTCATCATTATGCCCACTCTCTTCCCAGGTTAATAAAATCCTAGGCCTAAATTGTATATCTCCTTAGGAATAGTGCTTCCAGAGACATATGCATCCCGTATATAGCAGATCAGAGCTCACAGCTTAGTGTGTTAAGGGCATACGAAAGGTTTAATTTTACTTTTTTGGTTTTACTGGTTGGAGAGAAGCGTCGTTCCTAAATACTGGTGTATTAGAAAAGCAAGGGTTAGCTCCTTGCAAAGGTGGGTGGACAAGGAGATGTGGCAAAGGCTGTGAAAGCTGCTGATCTGAGCATAGCGGCTTTCTTAATTCACTAGTAGAAGAAACATAGATTTCACAGCAATATCCTTCAGAAAGTGTGTTAAGTTTGGAAAAAGTGAAATAATGCTCATATTCTTACCTTATCAACATAGTTTGCAATTTCTATCAGTCTCTGCTTAATTTTTTCCACATCCTTGCCTTGTCTCTGAAACTTGGAATGTAAAGGATCAATGTACTAGCAGCACAAATATTGTAGCGCTTCCCCCAACAACCACCTTACTCTGCCAGCGTTGCTGGTGATTGGGGGTCACACAGTGCAACCAAAAGCCACCGTCAGACTCCTGTTGGCTTCGTGGGACCAGGGTCTGCTTCAGAACAAGCACAGGCTATGGGATAGGATTTTGGTTCTCACAAAAAGATTTTAAAATCCCTACGTCTTACATAATGACCTTTCTGGGACTGGTGTTTTGTGAAAAAGAAAGGGCTCTTCTGTCCGCACTTCAGCTCTCGCAGCAGTGATTGTTATCCCTAACTAACAGCGTTCAAGGAGACAAAAAATGCAAGCTGCAGAATAATTCAAACCAAGATTTAGATCTTTGGTTGCCATTCAACTCACTGGAACATTTCTATGGTCAGTCCTGGTTACTCGCTTTGAAGTTCTCTTGGCAAACTGTCAGGAAGGCACTTGTGCTCCATGCGATGCGACCGTAAAGAACCACTTCAAAAGCAAGTGCAGGGTCCTACAGTGTCTTCCAAACAATGACAGTCCCACCGAGGGCAGAGTCAATGGCAATGAAGACTCACCTAGCTTCAGGAGATTCTGGGCAGTGATTTTGGATTTACCCGTTCTTGAATTACTGCCAGAAATCCCAATTATTTGAGAGTCAAATTCCTTACGAAGTACTGCAAGAAACTTTTACAATTGACTTCAGTGTTGCCCTAACTTAATAGCGCCTTCCATTGCTTAGCTCTACTTGAGGAAGAAGCTTTACTTTTGAAAACCACCATATTACTATCTGAAGCAGATTACTTGCAATACCATGGAAGCTGAACTGAGCTACCTGTTTCCCACCCATGCTTCTCATCACTTCGTAGTTTTAAGTTTCTTACCTCTCGATTATCTGCCACAATAACAAGCTCCACATACTTCGTTGTCTTCAGAGTCTCCCTCTTGTACTGCCAAAAAAGATGCAAATAGTATTTTGTTTTTACAGTAAGTGACCCTTGGATTCAGCTCTGTCTCAGTCCAACAAAGTGCTTGCAAGAGGAGATAGATACACAACATCGGAGGTTTGCAAAGATTTTACTACATAAAAATTTTTATTGTATTCCTTCTCCTCATGGAAGATTTCCTTTTATCTACCACAACACAAATAGTCTACGTGGTAGTTACTTACGAAAAAAAACCCAAAAAGAACCCAAGATTTGATCACAGCAAGCAGGAAAGTCCTGCAAAGTCTCTCTGAACCTTTCAGCTGTCTGCAGTTGTAAAATGTTTGTATTATCTTTCCTCGCAGTAGACTATCATCTCTAGCAGAAAGACCTTTGCTACTTCCAAGGCACATTTAAAGAAATGATGAGATGACTTTTAGCAAACATTTCACACAATAGACCAACTGGCTACTAAGAAAAATGAGAGATAAAGGGACACTGAGCGAAGCGGAGAAGAGACCAAGTGGTGAACTGATAAATTACGCAGGAAGAAAAACCAAAGAACAAAAACTGTGGAAAAAAAATCAGAATGAACTGTCAGTGTCTGGGGAAGCAAACTAATACTCTAAAAACGGAAGGCATACATTTAATTTTGTGTCTGTATGTTCATATAAAACAGATGGTCATGCTACTTGCAGTTCTAAATGCAGGTCTAAAGGAATCATAGTGTTTAGCTTCAAAAAGATCACTGAAGAAAATGAAATAATTTTGTAATAGAACTAATCCTAGCACAGCTCTTCTGGTACCCTAAATTTAAAGTGACCTATTAATGCCTGTGAAAGTTCTGTGATTTACAGCAGCTGAGCATCTATTCTATCATTCCTCCCTTGTTTCTGGAATAAGACAGACAGGGAGAAGAGGTCTCATCAGTATACCTGATCTTTATGCCAGAACTGAAGGAGCTTAAGCAGATGTATGACCTACTAATGACCACGATGTCTTGTGCTAAAGCAATGCTCTATAACCTACAACATGGCTAAAGCTTTCCAAAGCGAACTGTTCCAAGGTAAACCGTATGACCCCCTAAGAAGCTAAGTCATTACTGGACATCACCTTCCAGACAAATTTCACAAAGATTTTTTCACATTACCAAAGTGTTCCTCTTTGCTGTCTGCAGATTAATGATTTTGAATGTTTTGCAGGAAACGTTGTGTTTAGAGGAGAGTAACAGGTGTAAAGTAACCTTCAGTAGCTCTGACTTTCAAACTCGCATTTAATAGTGTTACACAGTCTTCAAAGTACAATAATTGGAAAATAGTTATGTTCTATTTGGACAACATTTACAAACTGAGAAAGCAGTAGAAGCTATCATGAATGAGCTACATCAATGATACAAAGACTTCACAGGATTACTCTTATAGGGGATGTGGCAAAAGAGCTCGTGTAGCTATTCTCACAGCTTCTTCTGGTATTGGGGTTCTCTGTCACCTTCTTGTGCTCTCCTGGAGGCAACTGTCACTACCATGGGGTCATGGTGTGTGCACAGACTTGGTGTGCACACCCACGCCTTGTCTGCCACACAGCTCATCAGCAGTGCATGGTGATATGCTGTCTGGGAGCCAGGAGTCGTCACGTCCCCTCCTGCTGCTCCTGGAACAGCAGCAGATGCAATGCAAATGGACTGCCGTGTCTCAGTAGACTTCAGCTGAACCTACAGTGTGCTGGCAGAGCTTGATTTACCTCCCTGCAAAATATATCAGACATAAGTGAGATGCCATGTAAGGCAAATGACCACGTGGGTGTTGTTCGTGACAGAACTGATCTCTCAGACACTGAAGGTCTAACATAAACTTGAAATGTATTATGCAGTCCTGATCAGACCCCCAAGGTGCCTCTAGTCTTCTTCCAAAAGAAGAATAAAAGATGAGACATGAAAATCCAGGTACAAAGATACGAGAAGAGGTCTGTTATATAAGTCAGTTTAAACCATTTACTTTTTACCAAGAGTAAAACTGTCTGGATTGGAGAGTTAGCCTGAGAGAAACTGGCTAGCAGGGTATAATCATGTAAGCCTCTGGTGACTGACTTGCATAATGCATCCATTCCTGTGATTTGCCCAAAGGCTATATGCATTCCTTGGATACAATATTTATTTATAAAATGCACCTAATTATGACTTCTCTTGGCTTGCTTTCTGCAGCCAGCTACATCAATGCGCAATCGATTGCCTGAGTTAATCCTTCAGAATTAAAATGAAGAGTCAATAATACAGCCATGATAGGTATACATGATGGGAGACCATGTGCTTTGTTCCACTGATTGCTGCCTTTCTCCCCTGCTTCTTCCATACCTGATCCTATCACAGAACTGCTGTCGCATGCCGCTGCAGCCCTTCCTCTTGCTCCCCTGCCTGGGAATTGGCATGGCTTGGATTCACACTGCAATGTTGCAGCCTCTCTCTTTCTCTGTGATCCACTTTCCCTGAAACAGCTCATCTGCCTGATCTGTGGTCCACCAGCACCACCAAAATGGCTATTTTGTGTGGCTAGAGAGAAAAAGTCATACTGTAGGAGCTGTCTTACACATCAGGCTTGCTTTCTGTAGGGTCTTATCTCAATGGAGCTCAACTGGAAAACACACTCCCTGCTGCAATTTGAGGGTCCACTGAGTTATGAAATGACCCAGTATTTATAGAGACCCAGCTCCAATGGAGCAAAATGTGTCTGCACACATCTGCTACATTATCTGACTTGCTCTATTAAATCTCATGTTTGGATCTGGGAAGCTGAGTCTACTGTTTGTCCCATCATTTATCTGCATTTAAATCTAACCCAAAGGCTAGTCTAACTTTGTGATATATTGATCTCACATTTCGGCTCTACTCAATAAGCATTTAGCGTAGGTAGTTGAGTGAAGGGCCAGGGGAAAAAAAAACAAACAAAAAACTCCCCCCCAGAACTGCCAAGAAACCCAAAATTTTCAGCATGCCCTAAACCTGAGACTGGATTTCTGCTTTCTTCTGTCATCCAGTGTAATTTGGAGCAGTCTTATGTCTCTCTATTTTGCAGGTCATCTTTATTCAGCATGTCCTGACTGTCTACTTAGCTGATGACAACACTGAAATGTGAAAACTCACTCCACACATTACATTTGACAACTTTCAAAATTCATACATTAGAATCGTATCCAATATACTCATTATATATATCGTACGTATCCATATGATATGACTGTTGACACTTTTTATAATTATGTCCACTGAACCACAGCAAATATATTTTTCAGATATTATAAGTTGAATTCTGGCTTGTAGCTGATGCCATCAACAAAATGTGAGAACCATGAGGGTAATAGTAAAATTGCTTTGATTGTATCCGCTAGTTGTATGCACACATTTTATTTCAGTTGCCTAGTGTTACATTGATTACCTCACTGAAATTCAGTCAAGAGTCAGAAAGATTTTGGGGCAACCTTAATAAAGTTGTGAAAAGCACTTTTCCAATGCTTTCAACCTATACACATATACACATATTTCAGAAATATGCTTAGCCCAGAAAATGGTATATGTAAAGGCTAATGCATTAGATGTAATATTTAATATTCCTAAAATGTAAAATAGTTAAATTCCATTACATAAATAATACCTAAGGATGCCATTTAGGTTGCTTTCCTTAACAACTAATTTGATGCAAAGGCTTAGTAGTACCTGTAACTATAAATCCCAATATATGACATTTAATAAATGCTGAGCACAGATTTGCATCATTGTATAATTTCTGAACACCTAAACCAGTCTTTCTACAATCCCCATCCAATATGCAGATGAACTTATTACAGTATTTTCTCTACCTGATTTTTAGCTCATTTATTTTTCTACAGTTTCCATTAGCTAGATGCATTTCATATCAAGTGCATTTCTTCCTACACAGAAAGAATTACAATAATACATCTATAAAATTATATGGTGAGGATATGTTTTGTCTGCATAAGAAATTTTTCTACTAGAATGTAAAGGTTCAAAAACTAATATTAGCAAAGCATCACAGCTATCATGTTCTCTTCCACCTTGGGTGGGCAAGAACTTTTCCAGACATTGCTCAATGTTCTTATGGGATCTTAAATTCTTGCTATAATCATACATGAACCAGAATATATTACTATAATATGAAACCATAAACTTTTCTGCACCACCTCATTACCAAAAAGAAAGTAAAATGCAAGTTATGCATGCAGGATCAAGAAAAAGCAATAAAGTTTTAGCAAATTGTGTAAGTATTATGCTTAGTTTTAAGCATGCGCTTAACATGACGTCAACAGAAATCAGAAGGTTCAATGCTTTGCAGCAGTTATAGTGGTCAGTAATATGGAAATGCTATCAGAGACCTACTCAGCAAACCAGAAACATAGAAGTGCATCAGCCGCCTACCCTGCCAGCTTGAGAATGGTGTGATGTGCCATTGCCATCAGTTCTCATGGCAGAGATGTCCAGCTGATGGCCACAAGATCCTGGGGCTATTTTCAAATTCTCTGCTTGGTAGATCTTGTGTTCGCTTGTAGCACCTTCCAATGGCTCCAGAATGTAGCTTTTGTTTTCAAATACAATAATTCCCCTGTTACAGAAGAGAACAGAGTAAGATGCATGGATTTCAGGAGCTAATGTATGTTTGTCTACAACAAAGTTAAAACAGGTTTTAATAATGACGGAGTATGAAAAAGCAAAACGCTGATTTAGAATGTCATGGTCAGGTGGAGCAGGAAACATCAAAGCTGTATGTTTGTCATTGCAGCACACTGTATTTTAAAAGAAGCGATGGCTCAAAGCAAATTTTACACTGCTGAAGTGCTGTACTGTAGAGCAAAATTACATTTGTTTTTTACGTGTTTTCCATTGTCCCAGTGATATACTGCTGTTGCTGAGTGGAGTCACAATGTGTGTGCTTCTGAGGAGCCGTGGCAAATAGTAATGAACAAAAGCGTGGTGAAGTGCCGTTGTAAGAAAAGGTACGCAGTGAAAGTACTCATTACGATCTGCAGTGTGCATTATACCTTTTAAACCAAGTGCTGATGCAAGCATCAATTCTGCCAGATGAAAGAGGCATCGCAGTATCAAAATGGACTATTAAATATTGCACAGTGGGGCAGCAGAACGAAGCTCAGATACATTAACCAGTGGATTCCTGTTTAACAGAGTTTACTACTCAAAATAATAATTTTCCACAGCAACACCACCTGCTCTCTGAGGATCTCAAAGATTTTCCATCAATGAAAGCACTCTTGTTGCACTACTGTGAGCTACAGTGTGCAAAGAGAAAATAGGGGTTTATGAAGAGAGAGAACAACTTGCTCCAAGAACATCTGGAAGAACCGAGGACACGTAGCCAATTCAGGGCTTCATGTGCTGCCTCCTAACCAAAAACCTCTCTCCCTGCATACTCCAGACAACTCAACAAATAAAAGCAATGCTTGGGTTCTTGTTCTGGGTCCTGCCCAATTATTCCAAGTGCTACAGTAAAACAAAGTTAAAAACAGGTTGACTTTTTCCAGTTCCTCCTGCTGAGGAAGCTGCTGGCATAAGGCTGCACTCAGCTCAGCACAGGATACATAGGCAGTGTGGTACTGGTGTCCATGATCTGCGCGTGCTGGAAGAGGATTTCTGGTGCTATATGGCATAAAGTAGGATGGTCTCCAACACCACCCCTGGAACTAGTAACCGTAACTGCCACCCTAGGACTGCAGAGTAAGAAGACCGCTCTACTGTAGGTCAGGACCGGCACAGCGTAAGTAGGCATGAAGTGGGTTTACAGACAGGGCTCAGGTAGAAATGACTGTAAGAGAAAGGAATTTAATATTCTGTGCCTAACTTGCAAGTGTCTAACTTGCATCCTGAGCCCATACTGCCAACTGGCCAGGAAGGTTCTAGATAATTCCTGCATTGAGCTGGACATCAGGTTTTGCTGGGTAACTGTGTGACCAAAGAAAGGCACCCTTTAAAACCCATTTCTCTCTTCTAAACTAGGGATAAGCATTTGCTTATGGGGTGTTGCAAGCATTCATCACTTAGACACTACACTGAATAGTGCACTGCATTACTAATTACTAATTTCTTCCTGGTCTTTAAATTACGGAGGCATTAATCCCTAAGCACTGGCAAAGGTTAAGCAGTAACAATTAGAATCTATGTACCTGAAATCCCTATGGAACTTTTAATCAGCCAAGACATTCTTCCTCAATTCCTCCTCTAAACTGCTCTGTATTATCTATATATGCTATTAAACAGCAATCATTTTCAGCCCAAAGCTGGCTGTGTTTTATGTCTTTTTGGTGTATAGGAAGTGTCTGCTCTTTTTATTTCTGTCTGTACTGCAGCAAAGGTAAGATACTGTTGTGAGACTGATACGTTTCTCTACACAATTCTTCTGCAGAAAAAGGAAAAAAAAGAAAAAAGAAAGAAAAAATAAAAGATAAAAAAGACAAGAAAAAAAGGATGAGAAAGAAAAAGAAAAAAATAAAAAAGAAAAAAGAAAGAGAAAAAAGAAAAATGGAAAAAGAGGAAGTATTCAGAAGCAGGTTAATGACACGATAAAGACTGATTTAAAAATAAAAAGTGAAATTATTAGGAAAAAGCTGCCCTAGCTATTCTATTCTTAGCAAGATAAGATGAAGAAACTCGAAGTTTTTGGCCTCTTAACCAGTTAACTGAAATTTTCATTCCAAGCTGACTGCACAGTTTTGCTACAAAACATCATTAACATCAGTTCAGCCAAGCCAACAGATGACCATTTTACTGTTAACCAGGACAGCCAGAAGTCCAAGAGGAAAAAAAAAAGACTGGAAACCCATGATATTAAAAAGGCTGTGCAACAGCATTTGCAGGAGCCTCCTTTACTGATCTGAACCAAGAAGCAGGGTCTGATAATTCATTTGCAGCTTCCTTAGTACCCTCGGCAAATCAGGTAAGATACATTATTCACCCATCGCACAGGCATGCTGTGTATGATGGATCACAGTTGGAAAAGCAGGACTGATTGATCACAGCAACCCTTGTAGCTACAGCTAGGATACGCTATAGCACGCATGACGTATGGGAGACCTCCGAGCAGGTCACCCCATGATTTGAGTAACCTTACACCCTATGGCTCTAAATTATTTTCAGATCTGCCTTATTCCTTAAAGGATTTAGGAAAAGAGGAGAACATATTCCCTTTACTCTGATAATCATCAACTCTGTAATCAGCACAACCAAATAAGGATTGTTGTCTTTCCCTTGTGCAATTAATCATTTAATTTTGGAGGCAGCTGGAACCAGCAATGGAGGCAGAAGTCCATTAGTCACTGTTTGAAATGGCCCAGCCTGACCATGTCCCTTTACTGACAGCTCAAAACCAACATAAAACCATGAAGGGTTTTATTTTTAATGTTAGACTTTATCCTGCTCAGAACATTAACTTGAAAAATACAGACTTAAATAATTTTTAAAGATGGCATCTTGGTGTCAAGGGTTCATAGCCAAAACATGCCACATCAATACCAGGTTTCCAATGCACCCCTTCTATACCCATCTACTTTCTAAAGTAATTAAATAACCATTTCTTTACACCTCGTTTTCTTTAGCTGCAGAGGATATGGACAAATGATCAGATACCAGAGGGAGAGTTTTCTACCAACCACACCAGAACCAGGGCAGCCTATTCAACTTGCCACAGAGACTCCCATCCCAAGTGACAACGTGAGCCTTTAAGAACTGTTCCACCTTTGCATATGAAGCAGTCACATGGTAAAAAAAATCTGCAGATTTGGCATAACGGAAAATATACATTTCATTTAATACACACTTATCCTTTGAGTGCTGCCTACAGGATATCGGCACCTGGCTTGTGACCATCTGTAATAAGATAATGAATATCAAATATGAATTATCTTGGCTGGCTCTCTGTTTTTGACTAATTTTCTTTTCCTACAATTGCATTTTCCCCCCATTGATCAGTGCCAAACACAGCACCTTAAAAATGTAACTGGTCAAAAGCTACGGTTTCTTTTTTTGGTGTGGCAGCATTAGATGAACAATACCTACCAGTCATTCGGATCTAAAAATTTGATGCAAGTAAAATAAATCCATAAGTACTTTTTTCTTCCACTTTTGTCAGGTGTTTCAAAAAAGCCTCTGTTACTCCTACACTATTTCTGTGTCTTCCTCTTGAACATGGTTCTCCCACGCTCCTGAGTCATCCTGTGTTCCCTGAAGAACAAGGTGGTGCCACTTTTCCATTTTTCAGGAGGCATTAATGTTAAAGAATATAATGTTTTCCAATGTGGCAAATAGACAGTATATTAAACTACAGATCCCCAACCAAACACTATACAAGGAACCCTAAAGGGATTTCAGCAGCTCTGCGAGTACTCGAGAAGTGGCTAGTCTTTAAGATCAAGTTCTGCTGAAATCTGTGGGATTTTTACCATCACCTCTACCAGGCAAAAGCCTACCAGAATTCCTAAGCTTATAAGTATTTGGAGAAAATGCAATATAAAGTATATATTTTTTGGTCTCCAGGTATCTAATTCATGGTAACTGTGTTTTCCCCAGTCCCACACCATACTGATGCTGGGAAGTCAGAAAGATTTTGCAAATGAGCCGGGCAGGAAAGACAAGAGACAATTCAACCCCCATCTAAAGCTATCGGGCTATTCTTTTCATCACTGGTAGCAGAAAGGGAGGGGAAAAAAAAAAAATCTATGCAACACAGTATATCCAGACATCAGTTCACAGGTTCCAAGCCAAGTGGAAGCAGCTTCGGTGTGGTCTTGAGCCTGAGCTAATATTTTACTCTACCTCTCAACAGGGCTTGGACCCTGCTCATGTCTGGTGGTCAGCACCAGATAGACCATGTCTACATTGCTGCTAATCAGCTGTAAACACCAACGACTCATTGGTATTTGCCTACTGTAAACCATTGTATGCCATATAGACACATGGAGAATGTGTATATGAGATGGCCTCTGATGGGACAAATCCCCCCATCTCAGAGAAAAAGAAATTAAAAGATAACATAAATAATTAATTTGTTATTAATTGCTGTTTAACTTGCCAGGAATCTCTCAATTAGGGAAGTGCAATTTGATGGAATAATTCCACTATTTAAATTGTTGATAAAGTAAAATGTGATATTTTTTCTCTTAAACAGAAAAACCAACCCCAAACCTAATACAAGGCCAGTCGTATTTCATAAATCAACAGGCTTTAGGAAATCTCAAAATATAAATGGGATTTTTCTTTTCCAACTTGTCAGCAGAAGCAAAGGCCCTGCCAACATAAACCATCAATGCATACTTGTCTGAGAAACTGTGATGCTGAAGTAAAACTTGGCTAGGATAGCAGTATATGAAACTGTGATATATTATTCTGCTGTACTATACAGGGAAAGTTAAGTAAATCAATAAATCTGATATCCATGAATGCAATTAAACATTTGGTTTTAATGAAGCTCAAAGTCATACTCATTTCTAAACAACAATAATAAAAAGCTCTATTACCACTGGAAGAGGAACGTAGATGTTTTCACTTTGTAAGAAATTAATTAGCCTACAGAGGACTGTCATGCTTACACACCACATA